TCAAAAAACCAAAACAAAAAAGTTATTAGTACCAAGCACATATCAGGAATTGTACTATGCAAAGGACATTATATTGAGGTCCATTTTTGGCTGTGTGAGCCTTCCCTTTTTTGCTGTATGAGTCTTTAGGAACTGTAAAATGACTCAGCACATGTAAAGTTCAATTATTACATTCAAGGTTGCCATCTCCTTTGTGTGTCTCTACTGCCTTCCCAGAGCATTTATTTTTGTTTGGGATGTTACTCAGAATTGTTGATAGAGAAACACATGTGGTATGCAGGTGCTAAAAGATAATTTCATCAAAACATCAGAAGCTACCCAGTTCAGGAGACCTGATAATGAGGAATGACAATGGTCCAAGGGAAGGGAGAGAAAAGCCCTATCCCTTGGCTTCACTGAATAAAGGGATGGTATATGACCAAGATGAGAGTAAAATGTTCATATGTAGAAAAAAGAGACTTTAAAATAACTATGGGAAAGGAGGGTCTGAGGAGCAGTAAACACAGGTTGGATGAGAACTCAAGGCATTTGCTCTTCCCTAGACTAGCCTGTGGGTTGACCCTTAATAATTAGAAAAATTGGGGCTGGGGATGTAGCTCAGTGATAGAATACTTGCCTAGCATGCACAAAGTCCTGGTTCAATTCCCAGCCTTGAAACAAAATTAGGAATACAGTGGCACTCAATGTATTGACAGTGTTGTACAACCACCACCTCTGTTTGGTTTCACCTTCTCTTATTTTTAATTCCTTCTATTTAAACCTTCTCCTTTAATCTCATAAGCACACCTCGCATCCAGACTCCTATTCCATATAGCCATCCTTTCTGCTGAGACCTTGTCCCCAGCATGTCCTGTTGTGTTCATGGCTGCCCAGATATAGTATAGCTAATGTAGATAGCTCAGACCCAGATACTTTCCTTGAATTTTGAGAACTGAATAAATGTACTGCCCAGAATAAATTCTGTCACCCAGTTGGACCAAATCATCCTTCCCAGCTGGTCAGTCATCATTCCCACTGTAAGTTATATTACGTAGGAACCATATTACTTGTGCCTCCTTTATGTTGTTGAAATTGCTTTTACCAAAATTAGCAGTGATTACTTAATTGCCAGATTCACTGGTTACCTCAGTCCTTGTTGCTACTCTTACCTCACAGCACCTTATTTCTTCTTTGTCTCTCAAAGAAAGATTAGTTTCCTCTTAGAAAATTTTTCCTAGTATCAGTTAAGAATAAAAAAATGCATCTTTTTTTTTGGTACTGGGGATCAAACTTGTAACCTCACATTTGCCAGGGCAGGCGCTTATGCTGTTAAGCTAAACCCCTAGCCCTAAAATATGTATCTTTTCAGTGGCTTAAAGCATAACATTTACCTAAGAAGAAGTCCAGAAGTGGGCTGTTCTAGGTTCTTTAGAAAGCTTAACTACATCATTAAGGACCCACTCTTTGCTTCCTTCTCATTTGTTCTCAGAATGCTGTTTGTCTTCATTGCTGTTTGTTGTACTTGTGGCCACAAGAAGGTCTTGTTAGCTCCAGGGTTCATGTGTTCATACCCTGTCTCAGGATAAAGGAAGAAACTGTTCAAAACAAAAGACAAATTGTGATAGGGGAAAGGAAGAAGGGCTAAAAGGAAAAAATATATGTACATACAAGACATTTAAGGTATACAGCTAGCCTGTTTGTTCCTTGAAAAGAATGTTTTGTGCCAATATTGTTTAGACAAGATACGTCTATGTCCTATACTCTGAATAACTGCTACAAGACACTGATATGCAATGCATCATAGCTAAAAGTTTATAGTTCAAGTTTCAAAACAGGGTAGTTGGACAGTTCCTTTCCCCTATCACCATTTGTCTTTTGTTTTGAACAGTTTCTTCCTTTATCCTGAGACAGGGTATGAACACATGAACCCTGGAGCTAACAAGACCTTCTTGTGGCCACAAGAATTGTAACTGTCCAACTACCCTGTTTTGAAACTTGTTTTCATTGTTTATGTTTTTCTCTTTAAAATAAAATTTAAAAAAGAGAGAATATAATTTTTAAGGAGTCATGTATTAAGGGGTAAATGGGCACAATGCATACAATTTACTGCCAAATGGAAAAGTATGTATGTATGGAAACATACCTAAGTAGCTAATTTAAGAACACAAATGATAAAAGAAAAAGGGACAAATGTTGCTAAATCTAGATAAAAGGAAATATCATAATCTCTATTACTTTCATAACTTTTCTGTATGTTTGAAATTATTTCCAAATAAAAGGTTTTCTTAAAAACAAAACAACAAAACAGAAAAAAAAAATCCAAACAATGTTTTCTGGGATCTAGTTTTCGGAAATCACTGAGGCTTCCTTTCAGTTGCTTTAAGGGATTTTTCCAGGTTCTGCTTCCTGTTCTTTAGGTCAGACCTTCACTTTCATCTGGTTTTGTCAGTTTTGTAATCTGTTGGCTCCTGATTGAATTTTGTTTTTCTTCCTAGCCCCTTAGATTCACTACTTGTTTGGATAATTTGTCTAGCTTTTTTTTTAAATTTAGTTTTTCACAAGACATGCCCTCTGGTCAGGTTCTCCTTTTTGGCCTTAAGCACGGAAGCTCATAAGCAAGTGATTTCTTGTCTGTGACACTGAATCCAGACTCTAAGTAGGCCCTGGAGGGACATCATATCCTGTATGTGACCTGAATGCTTCCACTACACAGCCTCATCTTTTTCAGCTGCCCTGACTTTGTCTGTTAGGAATTATTTATCTGTCCCGTCTCCATGTTTCCTGCGTGACCAAATCCTCATCTTGCTCTTCTAATTAGATGTCTTTCCTCCAGTTTTTATCCACTCTAGACAGCTGTCTTCCTCACCATCACCAGTTCTCTCATATTAACTGATTAAATATCTTCCAGCCTTTCATTGTCGTTCCAAATCTGACTGTACCTGCCTTACTAATTTCACATCCTCCTTTCTTTGTTGTTGAACTATAAACTTTTGGATATGAATACATTTTTTCTTCTACTCTATAGATGTTTAATGGACAAATGACCTCCAGCTGCATTAAATTATAAAACTTCTTTGACTATACCAAACTCAAATACTAACTTCTCTGATATTTTCTGACTCCCTCATTCAAGTCATGGATCTGGATGCATTTTTTTTCTCTTTAGACAGTAAGCTCTCTGAGGGAAAAGACCATGCTTTATTCATCTTTCATCTGACCCAGTGACATAGTACAGGTACAAAAGCAATTTCCTGGATGAATGAATGACATTAGAATAGAGAATACACTAGACTTTATATTCTCTGTATAATAAGACAGATTGAGGAAACAACCTAAGAACAATGAAAATAGAGATCAACAAGTATAAATACGATATAAATAAGTAAATTAAGTAGTCAGGTGAAGACATGGAATTAGAACAGTGTGGAAATTAATCAGGGAAGGCTCTCTAAAAGAAAATTTTGGGATATATTTGAAAAGAGGAAAGGAACGTAACTTGAACAAGAAATCAGAAGCATGCCAGAGTTAGGCTGAACCAAAGCATGCTAAGCAATTAAAAGCAATTTGAAGCTTGCTTTCTGAGCAGGACCTGTTCAACCCCTGACCTCAAGTTTCTGCCTTTTTCCTGGCTCATCAGGCAGCCATCTTCATTCACTCTTTATGTCTTGATCTTTCCAGGGTCAGCCCAATGTGGGGACTTCATGTTCTTTAAACAGCAAGAAGGAAGTTTCTGTGAAAATAAGCAAACAAAACTGCCCAACGGGATTGAACGCTTTTGCTAACCCTGGTCCTCTAGGGAAATAAAACTTGCCTGTTCCCAATAACATGGAACTGCTCCCAGTGTTGTTAAGCCAGAGAGAAACCCAAATGACTTCCCTTAAAAGGTACTGCAGCATATTTTACAAAAATTCTGTCTTTGTGAGATGGGATCCAAAGAAATCAAGGATGTATAACAAGTGAGATCTGAGAAACAGCTGATTAATAGAATCCTGCTTTAATCACACCTGTTCTCCTCCTTGGATAAGATGAAAACACTCGCGGTGCCTGGCAGTCACCTTTTAGGGTTCACTCATTGATGCGGATAGCATTTTTGGGATGGAACAAATTAATAGATGACATTAGTCTCCTTAAAAATGTTCCCCATCTTAGGAATCAGAACGTTTTACACAACAGGAGGTATATTTCAAGTCCTATTGAATCTCTTGACTTTGGGAGATGACAGCAAATTCTACTAGGATAACCTAGTGTTCATTTTTTCAGAACTCACGGTCCAACGCGTAGTTTCCTGAATATTGAGGCGTACAACCTTCCGGTGGAAGCCAGAAAATTGTTGTATTCGTTCATTGCATGTTTTGAAGGGCTAGGTTTAAAACACAGCTATTGTAGCTCACCTAATGCGAATACAGATTTCCACGGCGGTAATGGGAGAGCTCCCTAAGGGACACCTCATGTGCAGAATCTTTACGCTGTTGCCACTCTGCTAGATATCTCCGCCTAGAAAGGAAATAGTAAAGGCTAAACTGCTGTAGCTCTTCACCCCACTGGGGGCTTCCCAGGTACGCACAACCTCCCGGTGCGTTGCCCAATCTCCGGGGTTGTCACACCAGACTGCGGTGATGTCACACTGGCTGGGATTATATTTTACAGCTGGACTCTTTACAGTCACCAGGCACCAGTAAATCACCGAGAGGACTGCCGTGTGGAGGGGCCGGTGGACTCGGCCTCTATACTCGTCCACGCTGGCTCCCCACGGAGGCGCCCGCTTTCCCACGGCCATCGGAACTATGCAGCGGCCCTGATCCACCCGCCTCTCTGCACTTCCGCCTCAGTAGGTGTCATGGCGCGAGGCGGGTGAATGGTTCCGGCGAGGCGGGGCTGGCCGGATGGAGGCGGTCGCTCGGGGCTCCACTCGTCTGGTCTGGCGACAACGGCAGCTGCGGAGTGAGGGGGCCCGGCTGTGGCCCCGGACGGCAACGGGAGGCCGAGGAGCGAGCGTGTGGGGCTGAGGCGGCGGTGGCGGCGGCGGCGGAACGAGGCCGGGAGGCGGAGCGGGCAGGAGGCTGGCGAAGCTCCCTCCGCGGGAGGGGCGCGGGGACGGCGCCGGAGGGCGGGGGCCGGGGCCCGGGCCGGCTTGCGCAGCGGGTACGATGACCCGGCGGCGGGGCCCCGGATTTCGTCTCCTCACGGCAGCCCCAACTCGCGGCTGAGAACCAGATACACCGGCGGTGAGTGGGGACGAGGGCCTGGGGGCCGCGGCGGGGAACTCTTTGAGGCGGGGCCGGGCCGGCGGGGCTGCGCGCGATCGCCTTGCCTACGGGGGGGCGCCTCGTTCCACCAGCCCCTGCCCTGCACCGGGGGCCGCAGAACTGGATGAGGTTTCCAGGAAGGCTGGCTGCTTGTGGGGCAACTCCTCATGCCACTTATCTCCAGGGCGTGTTGTTGTCCTCAAGTGACAGGGGCCGCCCTGCGTCTCCCCACCCGGCTGTCTGTTGCCAGGTTTTTCCCCAGGCTGTTGGTGCCAGGTTCCCAACGTGAGACTTGTGCCTGTTTTCACACCTGTGGTGGCCGGCGTGATTTGGGATTATTTGTGCTGTTTGGAACTAGGAAGCGGTGTCTGGGGAAGACGATGGTGGTGGGGTGGGTGTGGAAGCGTTGCTAACCTCGCCGCTGACGTTCAGTAGTCCTTCGTTAGCTTTGTAATTAGTAATGATGATGGAGACTCCGTGGGACCAGCCCACCTAATGTATACTCTGCAAGCCAGTTCTAGAGATTTGTCTCAACGCAAACTTTTGGTGCCTGTCGCCCCTAGGAAAGCTTTATTAAAAATAAAAACAATAAAGAAAACCAAAACTTGTGTGAGACCTACACTATTCACAGGTCGGCAGAGAAGAATCCCTTTTTGTGCCTAGCAACCGTGAAGAAAGGGTTGGTCTCCAGGAGCGCTGGTTTAATCTCCAGTTTGTTGTGGTGACAAACCTTGAGCAATAGCCTGTGTTTATGCTGGGCGCGCTTTCTTTCCTGTTTGGGGCGAGGGGCTGGGAAGGGAAGGAGAAAAAAAACAACCCCGAGCTCCGGTAAATCTTTTCTCCACTTAACCACGATTTGATTTTAGATAAATTGATTTTAAGGTTGCCCTAGATGCAGTCTTTCTTCTCTTATGGTACTGGGGATTGAACCCGGGAACGCTTAGCTACATTCCCAGCCCTTTTTGAGACAATGTCTCCTTAATTTGCCCAGGCTGGCATTGAACTTGTGATTCTCCTGTCTCAGATTCCCAAGTATCTGTGATTATAGATGTGTGTTAACACAGCGTGCCTGCCCTACGATGCTTTCTTGTCTATCGCTGACAGAATTGCATCAAAATATTAGATTTTTCTCTTCCAACCCGGTCTTTATCTTGTTTCTTAGTAACTCTGGTGAAAACAGCAGTGTGGCTTCCTGTTCCAGATGAAGTGGGGTTAAATTAAGAGGCTGATGTCCTCAGGACAACCTACAATTTTGCCCTTGTTTGTGGAAAGCTATTTCTGATTCCTGGCCTGTAAGATTAAAAAAATTTTTTTTTCGAGTAAGATTATAGAGAATACAAACCATTACCAGCTTTTTTTGTACCAAAGCCGAAAGCTTTCTGTAAAAGATTAAAAAAATCTAACAAGTCATTTTACCTCATCACTGGTATTCAGGTAGTGATTTTGGATCTTTGCATATAATTATCTCAGGGTTCTGTGTTATAGTATTGGTATGATGAAGCATGTCATTGACTTTAAGATACTGTTCTTGGCTTGAAAGATATTTTGGTAAAGTACTTGTGGTTGAAACTGGATGCAGCCTAGCCAGTAACGCATCTTAACAGCAAAATGGTAAATGAGAGCTTGTAAATCTTTTTTTTTTTTTAAAATCAGTACCAGTGATCAAACTCAGGACTGCCTGCTTGCAAGGCAGGCGCTTATGCCGCTGAGCTAAATCCCCAGCCCCGAGCTTGTAAATCTTACAGGCTCTGGTTGACAAGTAGGACTTTTGCTGGTGATACCTTTGTGAATAGTTCATCTATCTCTGGGTATAGTTGTATTGATTCTAGAGCAGGTTGGTTGGTAACAAGGTTTAAAATCAAACCAGAACTGCCTTCTAAAAGAAAAACACAGGTATGTCATATTTCACAGTTCTCTGGAAAATAGGATTGTTTTATTCTGGGTTTTTGTTTTTACAAGCACAGCTCCATCAGTGGTTTGTTGGTAGAGATCAGTGAGCCAACCCTGCCTTGTGAACTTCTTACACTTGGAACTTGTGTAGCTTGTTAGCTATGTGTTATAATTGGGCCTTTTGTAATTTGAAGTAATTTTGTAAACATGAGCTACTTGATCTGCCATCTACCCTTTTATTTTCATTTTCATGACTGTGTAAAAAGCAGTGTAGTTTTTAATGGTCTTTTTTATTTCTTTTGAAAATATTTCTCCCTAGTTCCTTTCCTTGTATTTCATGTTATTTTGAACACAAGTTATCAAGATCATTTTCTTTCAACTCCCACTGTAACAATTACTGATTTATTTATTTTTTTTAAAGGAAGCAGAGTCTTGCTGTTTTGATCTCAAACATCTCAAGCAGTTCTCCTGCTTCAGCCTCCTGAATAGTAGGGATTATAGGCACACAGCCCAGAGTGATTCCTTTTTTGTTTTGTTCATAGTCTTTTTTTTTTTTATTTGTTGACATCAAAGTCCTAGATGTCTCTAATGCATTTTTGTAGTGCATAATTTGGTACTTAAAAATATTTACATCTTTTTTTTTTTTTCTTCTTCTTTTGATAACATACCACTTCAGCAAAATTCTAAGGTCACTGAAGGTGGGGAAACTTAGTTATATTTCTTTTTAATTCTTTAAGGGGACCCCTACAATGTTCGCAGAGTGCTTGCTGAAAAAAATTAGAAAAGTTGAATTCTTTGCTAGCTTGCTACTCATTAGTTGTGTAAAACTTGTTTGGATTTTTGAGTCTCCTTTTTTCCATCTTGGAATTAAAAGATTTTAGAAAGAATCTTTTAAGGTCTCTTTTAGCCATAAAAATTCTGTGCTTTTCTTCTAGCATTTCTCCAGTAAAATACATTTTATTCTGCACAATTTTTCATTTTTCCACATCCATTGGCATACTTGGAAAAGTCATCTTAAGTCTTGAAAAAGCTTCATCTACCTCACATCTGCCAACCCTTTTTTTTTAAGTCCTGTTTTCATTCTGCCTTTGCTGGTTGATTTGAACAGTCTTCTAGTATTTGTTTTATATTGATCTCAGCTTTGTTAATTTGGCCTTTTTTATGTTGGAAACTCAAGGAATAGTTTTCTTTATTCTAAATTTTGTAGCCCTTGTAGACTTCTAAAATAATTATCTTTTAACTAACAGCATCTATTTTTCTTTTACTACTGTAGATTCATTATTCAAAACAAATCCAGGAGAATTATTGAATAGGATAACATAGTCTGCCTAGAGAGAAAGCATCTTTCAGCCACTTTACCGAAATATAAGAAAATGGATTGAAATGGCAGAAGTTTCACAGAATTGTAGTGTTACTGCATTGTCAGATAACACCACCTTTTCCACACCCTATTTTTGCAATGCCAGTTGGGGAACTGGCTTGGAGGAAGGAAGTATTACAGGAAAGGGGGTGGGGGAAATTTGATCCAAAATGTATCCTTAGGGTTTCAAAATTACTTTATTATTTGGTATTACTGTATTTAGAACACTAGTATATAAATATATATTAAATGTCTAAATACATAGGTTTATGTATTTGTATATTCATATATATTAAATGTATATTTTCTTGCAGACAAAAGACCAATTTCTGTCTCATTGTGTTAGTGTTTCTTTAATTTAGTCAGAGTTACTGCTGAGACTTTATATATATTTTTATTTTATTGGTACATTTTACCTTTTTATTTTTTTGAAACAGAGTCTTGCTATGCAGTTCATGATGCCCTTGAACTCACTATGTAGCCCAAACTGACTTTGACCATGTGGTGGTCTTCCTGCCTCTGCCTAACGTACTGGGGTTATAGGCATACATTACCCCACACACCCTATTGGTACATTTTAGATACATAATGATAACCTTCATCATGGGGCATTTGTACCTGTATGTGATATATCTTTCTTCTTTTTTTCATATTTTCCTCCCCTGCCTTCAGCCCCTCTTCCCCTGCTTATTTACAAAAGTTTTCTTTTCATTTTTTCCTTTTATTTTTTTCTGGTCTCTTCCTGTATTCATCCTCTTTCCCTAGTTCCTCTTCTCATTTGAACATTTTCTTCCCATTTCTCAATATCTAGTATACATTTTGGTCCTTATTTACACTTTTGGCTTCTTACACTAGAGAGACAATGTGGTATTTAAATGTGTGTGTGATTTGTTTCACTTAGGAGTAGTCTCAAGGTACATCCATTTAGCTAGAGATGTCTCAAGCTTATCCTTTATAGCAGCATAATACTTTGTTTTATATATCTCCTTTTTCAGAGAACTATAGTTTTCGGTTTAAAATCTTTTACTTCCTTTTTTAGAATGATTGCTAGGTATTTCATGTTTTTGGATGCTATTGTGTAAGGTGTTGTATATAAGTTCTGTATTAGTGAGTTTGTTGTGTACAGGAATGCTATTGATTTTTGAGGGTTGACTTTGTATCCAGCTACACTATTGAATTTGGTTATTAAATCTAGAAGTCTTTTGGTGGAGTTCTGGGGGTAGATTTTATATTTATATATGAAAAATTAATGTCATCTTTTTATGACCATTAACTGTAGCAAATATTTAGCACGTACTCTGTGCTAACCATTGTGATAGATGCTAGTGATCATTTAAAAAAATATGGGGATGGTGGAGCACAACTGAAATCCCCCAGCACTTGGGAAGTTATGGTGGCAGGAGGATCACTGTGAGTTCAAGCTGTTTTTGGGCTACATAGTGAGTTCAGGAGCAGCCTGAACTACATAGCAAGCCTCTGTCTCAACTTCTTCGCCATAAAAATATAAGTAAAAAAAGGGAAAACAACTGTGACATTCTGGCACTCTACTATTCTGCAATTTGAAGCTTGTCTTTATAGAACTTGCAGTTCAGAAATCAGTGCACTGTGGATGTATCTTAGGGATAAAAGATTTGACTAGAAAAGAAGTCTGAAATAATTACAAATGATTGTACTTAAAATCCAGACTTGCCCACAAGTTAGTATGTGATTTGTTCCTCCTTAACTCTTT